TTTACTTTAAGAACTTTAATATAAAATAACATTTTAATCATGCATTGTCTTGCTGTACACATAACATTTTAGATATATCTACAGCAATGTAGACTTTTCTAAAGAACATTGTACTGTTCAAAGACAATGTGTGGTAAAACTTGAAGATTGAAAGCTCTCGACTCATTATTTTTATGAGTTAGAATCCTCCATTACAAAGAATATTTCTTGCCAGAAGATCAAAAAATTTCTAGCAAATCTATGGGATAAATGAAGACTTTGTCATTTATCCTTTATCAAAACAATATTGGGAATGTAATATTACATTTACATTCATTCCTTCCTAATAAATGTTCGACCCCTGTGAAATATATCGTTTGTAATATACTGACGAAATTTCTTAAGTAGAAAAGAATATAGAAGCAACTTACGTAATTGTTTTCTTTTCAGTACTCTTAGACTGTGATCTTGCCCGATTTAATACCTTCAAAAAGTCTGTTGTTTTGGTACGCATTCTTGAATGAATGTAAACTTTACTACACTTAATATGATAGTGCAAATAATTTCTAAACATGTGTATTAAATCAATGGTATTATCACGAGCTTCTCTATTTGTATGCCGGGGAAATAGTACTATGAAAAAAGCAAATTCATAAATGTGTATTTTATGTTAGTTTCAAAAATGTTTATGTATATTTTTTTCATAAATTCATTCCTTTTAAGAGCTTAAAACAGTAATCAATATTTACCAAATGTAATGTATCCAATACAATCTCCAACAGCAGCTTCAGAATCTTGTAATTCTAAAGGTGGCTCACGATGATTAAATAGAACTTGTGGAGCTGTATGACTTGCGCGTCTACCTTCTTTTAATTCTTGTAAAAACAATTTTCCAATAACCATGTCATCTTCGTCTTTAAATATTGTACTGAATACCACTGTTACTCTATCGCTTTTGGCTTCAACATACCTTAATATGAAAATTCATATAATAATAAATGTTTTACTTGCAAATTTCCATGAAAAAAGGGTTTATGCTTACATTGTTTCTTCATCTCTATATTGGATGACAGCCCTTTTCTGTAATTCTGTACCTGGAGAATTATAATACTCTTCTTGAAATTTAAAGTACTTTTCAAACACACTGGCAAAACAATGTCTCTTTAAAAGTGCAATTTTTTTAACTAATAATTCCCAATCTTCTGGCAAATTTTCCAAATCTATCAATACAGAAACATTGTAGCCTACAAATATTAATAATTTCATTTAGTAATATAGTCGAGTAATTTTTACATATACATAATTATACATTTAACAACTTTCTGAGAAACTGTTTACCATTCTCAGGAGCTATAAGATAAGAGCCATATTCACGTATAAGTAATTCATCAGCCCCATGCTCTTGTAATTGTTTATAAAATTTAAGTAAAATACTTATCTATAATGAAAGAA